ATATATATATATATATATATATATATATATATATATATATATATATATATATATATATATATATATATATATATATATATATATATATATATATATATATATATATATATATATATATATATATATGATGCATTTCAGTGGATGTTGTCATCCAGAACATAATGAAAGCCTAGTAAATATGAACAGTGCACAAGATTTAATGTTCTACTGAAGAAAAAAGTCATCTTGGATGAACTGTGGGTGACTAAATTAACAGGAAATGTTCGTTTGGATGATCTAATCATTTAATCTAAGCTTTATCTGATGTATTATAACATCCCTGTTGTTAACACACTTATAACATTACATCATGATATAATTACGCACCATATTAATTCTTCCCAATATATGCCAAAACCAGAGTTTCAGATTGGCAAGTGAGATGTAGTTCAGGTCAGCATTGCATTGCATGTTTTTCAAAGCACAGAAAGCATCGAGGCAGAAGTATTTGTGTTGCAGTCTTGTCCTTCCCCATTTCACCTCTGCTGAACAGGGTTAACACCCAGCGCTGACAGACTCTCCACCGGTTCAAAGGGGTTAATCTAATGATTGTTTGTTTGGTTAACCTGCTTGATTAGAAGCTTGATTCCGAGTCGTTTGCCAGAATTAAACTCAACCCAGCGCTTCCTATAAATGAAATCATACCTAATTAAAACATCTAAACCTAATCATAAGCCCGACCATCTGTTTCTCAGATCCGCGTTTAAGCTCCACTAAACACACGACTTTTATTCCACACGCACATTGGCATCCAAAAAAAAGCCGTGCTTCAAACTTTTGAACATTTCTGTGGTGGCAGTGACCGTGCTGCCTTTTTAGATGACACTGAATGCATGCACTTTAGTGTGTTTGGACATGCCGGGTTTGAGTGCAACAGCGCACAAAGCAGGTGATTTGCTTTATTCACTAACATGCCATGAGCTCAACAAGTTAATGATGTCATCCTCAGGGCACCACATGGGATTCTTGCCTGTTGACTTATGCAGTGTACTACTGCATATTTCTGCATAATTCTGTGTGGAGTTTGCATGTTCTCCCCGTGTTGGCGTGGGTTTCCTCTAGGGATGCAATGATTAACCGGTTTCACTATTAGCCGTGCTTTAATTCGTCATGGTTATTTATTCGTAAAGGCTTCTAAAAAAATGGAACAAAACTGCTGCAACTAAACAAAGTTACGCCTACTCTGCGCTAGTTTGAAGTTCTGAACTTGTATACTGAGGATAATACGCATGCACACTGAGGCTATTAACTTGCGCGTGCAAGTTCGTTATTTCCAATAGAGGGGCTTGGCTCGCACGTGCATGTTAGAAGCAACACGCTGACGCTTTCCAGGCGCATCTAGTTGAAAGAATGTCAAGCAAGTCGCTGATCAATCAGCTTCATACTTTGGAATATACACATTTCGTCTCTAAAGAGAACAAATACAAAAGGAAA